TCCATTTTAAATATACTAACCTCACTCCTTTGTAACAACTAAGACAAAAATGTAATTAATTCAGAAAATCTTTTCAGGACCCCACCTTGATGTTTTGGGACGCCACTTTGGGTCCCGACCCCAACTTTGGGAAACACTACTCTAGAGTAAACAGTGAACTTTTTACAAATCCCATTTCCTTTTACTTTACATTGTTTATTAAAATGTCACAAGCTAATTAAAAGGGACAAAAACCAACAGGATTCACCAGAATTAAGAAAAGAAAAGACTTCCGGCTTATCTGACATTTTACACCTACGCAAATCATAAAAGCAGAGCAGTGAGTTGACTCTAACGGCAAGAAACAAATCTCTGACTGCTCCTCAGTCTGTAGGATTTCTGTCTCACAAATTTGGCACTAACATTCACAACAAACACAAAAATAAATCTGAATTTCAAAAAAAGGCCATAATGAAGATAATTTCAGCTTCAGAAGAATAACAAATAAAATAAAATAAAATAAAATAAAGAGGAACAGCGTATCAGTGATCTGTTTGGTGTCTGGTTGACTTTGGTGTTTAACTGTCACAGTAAGGCACACATTCAAGGCATTTACACACAGCAGGCACGACAGGCTCATTTTTGCTTCACACAATCAATCCCGTCAGCCGCAGACTGAGAATTGTGGGTGTCTGAATCATGGGAACAGCTTCATTAGATTCACGTTGACTAATCTGTCCTCCCTCCCTTTGCTCTGCACATCCTGAGAAGTGTCACAATGCTGGGCTGTAATACCAGGAACACACTGTGCAACATAAAAGGAAGATGAAACGATTCTGAGTAACTTCAACAGACAGGAATCCTTTTGTAACCACTGAGTTTATAATAAATCTGACCTATTCATTCAGGTTTAATCAGCTGAACTGCAATCTTAAGGTCAGTCGTGGGCTGAGGTTAGTTTCTTCCTGTATTCAGTGAATACAGTAAATTCCTCCTATAACCGTAAAGAAAATAAACCGAATTTTCTGAGTTGTAGAAAATCATTTGTCTTCCATTGTTCAGACTTAAAAACCCCTACATGTTCTGAAGCACAGAATATTACATAAAATAAAATAAAAAAGACATTTTTAAAAATCTAACTTTCACCAACAAAGTGAAACTCTTCCTTATGATGAATTACTTTGTTGCATTCTAGACAAAGAGGAAACTGGACCATGTCAGAAGTATTTTCAACATCTTTTTAAACCTGCCAAGACCTCCGATATAACTCTTCCTGCTGACGTCTTTATTGGCAAGATTCACAGTGGAAAATAAGGCTTCTTATTTTTTGTCCAGAGGGTGTTTTACATCACTTATCTGGCAACATTCTGCTCCACAGCGAGAGATAATCAATTATGAACATCTGACTCCTGCTTCTACATAGTGACATGAATGTTAAACTATTCATGGTATTTTTCTGGGTCAACTCAGCCTTTTGGATGACTGAGGCAAACTCTTGTGTAACTCTTTAGAGGAACTGACAATAATATAGAAAACTGTCTATCAATCATTGTTTCATTACAATAGCATGTTTATTTTAACTAAAGTATGGTTTCTGCATATATTGTACTTTAACCGTATAGGTCCTTAAAAATACAAAATTTAATTATTTTTTTCCACAATAAACTAGCCATACTTTTAGAGCCATCTCAGCCTAAATAAACAACTTCTTAAATCCTGAAAAATAAATTTAAAAAATGGACAAAAACATTTATTTTCTGACAATTAAAA